CTTGTTAGCCTTAGCAGCCAGTAGCTGCCTGAGTGAAGACATGCCTCTGACTTCAGTGGGCCGGGAGCAAGAGACAGAGCTGAAGCCCAGGGTCGAGGGGCTTTCACGTAGTTTCTAGAGCCTGGCACTTTGAACTTGGACTTTAAGCCTCCAGACTGTGAGAGAATAAATTCCTGTTTGTTCAAGCTATCCTGTTTGTGGTATATTCTTGTCAGAGCGGCTTTGTGGAACCAGAACAACTATGGACTGAGAAGAAGGAACATATTTGTCCTGGATGAAGTCCAGGCAGAATGCGCCTTAGAAGTGAGGATGGTGAGACTTTGTCTCACATACTTTGTGCTTGTTTTCAGGAGGGACCAGTCCTTGAAGAAGGACATCATGCTTGGTAAAGTAGAGGGGCAGCCAAAAAGAGGAAGACCCTCAATGAGATGGGTGACACAGCGGCTCAACCAGGGGCTTGAGCACAGCAGCAGTTGAGGGGCTGGGCAGGACGGGGCAGTGTTCTGTTTTCTTGTACATGGGGTTGCTAGGAGTCAAGACCACCTCGATGGGACCTGGCACCAACGGCAGACTTAAGGTGTTTGGGGTTCTGTGCCTGGAAGGACTTGATTGTATGTTTAGAAAATGGAGCTCTGCTGCAGTTCCTTGACAGCATCTGTGCTGCCTGTGAGCCCCCGGCTCTCTGTCCCCATGACCCTGTCTGTCCTCGCCCGGGAACGCAGGAGGCTGTCCCTGTGTCCTCACTGCTACCCTGTGCTGCCTGCTCCTCCCCGTTCACCTGCAGGACCTGGCTCCCTCCTCTGTGGGGCCCCATCCAGTCTTCATGGTGTCTTCTCAGCCTAAAACCGGGGCCGTGCTTCAGTCCCCTGAGCCTCAGTGTTGTTAGCTGCCATCGAGCCGGACCCTGAGGCCCCGAGGCGTGGTGACACATTCACAGCAGGGTGCAGTGCCGCAAGGCCCTGCACCACCCCCACCATCCAGTCGGACCAAAGCGTAGTAACATGTGCACAGCAGAGTGTAGCGTCGCGGGGCCCAGTACTGTCCCCACCATCCAGTCGGACCTGAGGTGTAGTGACACGTACACAGCAGAGTGCAGGCCTCCAGGCCCTACACCGTCCCCACCATAGTTGCAGATCCGACTATTGGGATCCATAGGGCTTTCCTTGGCTGATTTTCAGACATGGGTTGCCAGACCTTTCTTCCTAGTTCATCTTAGTCTGAAAGCTCTGCTGAACCCGTCCACCATCACAACATCCACTGAGTTACGGATGGTAGCTGTGCATGAGGTGTGTGGGCGGGCCAGGAATTAAAGCCGGTCCCCCACAAGGAAGGCAACAGTTCTCCTACTGAATCTCCAGGCCTGTACCGAGCTGCAGCCTCCACTGGCTCCACCCTCCCCAGGCCAGGTCCTGTGCTCCTTGTCTTCTTCAGGCTGGAAAGGTGCACTGTTGGCCTCGTCGTGTTCATCTGAGCTCCGCTGGCTCACCTTCTCGTCATCCCTGCTTTGGTCATGTGAGCTTTCTTGGATCCACATGAATGATTTCCAGGGGAAGTTAAGGAAAGTGTGGCATTGCTTATGTCAGACCACCTGAGCAGAGTGTTGGCTGCCACGGCTCCTGGTGTGGGGCCCCTGGGGGATGTCTCTGTGAGTTGGCCAGAGGCACTGTGATTTCTGGGGGAAAATGCCCCATCTCACCCCTAAGTACCCCCTCTGTAGGAACTTAGTAATGGCTGGGCAGGGATAGAGTGCAGACAGGGTGTTCAGTAGGTATGTGTCTGCACGCTAGGTGGTCTGTGTCACCAGGCCTGAGGGTAGTCCCCTGTCCTAAGTGCCATCACCCTGGACTGGCTTCATGTGGCATGCTTATAGGGTGGTCTATGTCACCAAACAAACACTGGGGTTGAGGGCAGGGCTGTGCCCTGAGCACTGTCCCCCTAGGCTGGCTTCAGGTGGCACACTCACAGGGTGGTATGTGTCACCGAGCAAGTACCAGGGTTGAGAGTGCTGAGCACTGTCCCCCTGGGCTGGCTTCATGTGACACACTTACAGGGAGGTCTGTGTCACTAAGTGAGCATCATTGCTGAGGGCAAGCCTGCATCCTGAGCATCCCCTGGGCACTGTCCCCCAGGGCTGCCTTCGTGCAGCACACTTGCAGGCAGTCTGTGTCACCAAGCAAGCACTGGGTTCAAGGTCAGGCCTGTGTCCTGAGCACTGTCCCCTAGGCTGGCTTCAAGTGACACACTCACAGGTCAGTCTGTGTCACCAAGCGAGTGTCAGGGTCAATGGGCCTGTGTCCTGAGCACTGTCCCCCTGGCTGGCTTCATGTGACACGCTTGTAGGGAGGTCTGTGTCGCGAGCACCATCCCCGGGCTGCTTTGCTGTATGGCATGGGGTGCTTCTGATAACGCCTTCCTCTGTCTCCCCAGATCGCGCTCATGACGCTGACCCTCTTCCCTATCCGGCTCCTGTTCGCTGCCTTCATGATGCTGTTCGCCTGGCCCTTCGCGTTTGTGGCTTCACTGGGATGTGCTGACAAAGAACCAGAGCAGCCCCTGGCCTTGTGGCGGAAGTAAGTTGATGGTGGCGATTGTGGGTACCCTGGCTTGCCATGTGCACGGGGCCATGCAGCCAGAACAAACCCGATCCCACCCCAGTGTCCTTGTGTCCACTGCCTGCACTCATCCCACTCCCCTCCCCAAGACTGGTGCCTACTGTGGCCCTACTCTCAGCCTGTCTAGCCTCATGTCCCCTCCGCCCTGTCTTAGTTCCCTAATGCTGCTAAAACGAAATACCACAAGGGGGTGGCTGTACCAAACAGAAATTTGTTTTCTCGCAGTTTAGGAGGATAGAAGGCCAATTTCAGGTGCTGGCCCTGGAGGAAGGCACCTGCTCTGTCATCGCTGGAGGAGATGACATCTCTTTTAGCTTCTGATCTTCAGTTCCTGGTGATCTTCATGTGAGGCACCATCTGTCTTCCCTGTCAGCACTTCCTTATGTGAGGGCCTAATCGTCTGTCGTTTCTCATAGTGTGCTGGCTGGCATGTTGCTGTGAGGCTGGCGGCAATGCCCCTGGTATTTCAGGTACCAGCAGGCTTCCCCATGGTGGACAGGTTTCAGTAGAGGTTCCAGACTAGGACAGACTTGGAAGAAGGCCAGTGCTGTCCACTTCTGAAAAAACTGGCCACTGAAAACTTACAGCAGTGGAACACTGTCTGATATATTACTGGAAACTTAATGAATAGTCCCGGAACATTGTCTGATATAGTGCCGGAAGATGAGCCCCTCAGGTTGGAAGGCACTCAAAAGACAACTGGGGAAGAGCTGCATCCTCAGAGTATAGTCAACCTTAATGATGTGGATGCGGTAAAGCTTTCAGGACCTCCATTTGCTGATATGGCATGTCTCAGAATGGGACGAAACAGCTGCAAATATCCATTAATAATTAGAACATGGAATGTATGAATCTAAGAAAATCAGAAGTTATCATCAATGAAATGGAACACATAAAGATAGATATCCTAGGCTAGTGATCTGAAATGGACTGATACTGCCATTTTGAATCAGACAGTCACATGGTCTACTATGCCAGGAATGACAAATTGAAGAAAAATGGCATTGCATTCATCATCAGAAAGGATGTTTCAAGATTTACCATGAAGTACAATGCTATCAGCAGTAGGGTAATACCCATACACCTACAAGGAACACTAATTAATACTAATCTTATTCAAATTTACACACCAATGACTAAAGCCAAAGATGAAGAAATAGAAGATATTTACCAACTTTTGCAGTCTGAAATTGACCCAACGCACAATCAAGATGTATTGTTAATTAATGAAGATATGATTATTGATTATCACTGGTGATCGGAGTGCAAAAGTTAGAAACAGAAGAATCACCAGTAGTTGGAAAATGTGGCCGTGGTGATGGAAATGATACCAGAGAGCATACGATGGAATTTTGCAAGACCGTGACTTATTTGTTGCAAGTACTTTTTTTCAACATAAATGGCAGCTATGCACATGGACCTCACCAGGTGGAATACACAAGAATGAAATCAACTACATATGTGGAAAGAGGTGATAGAGAAGCTCAATATCATCAGTCAGAATAAGGCCAGGAGCTGACTGTGGAGTGGAGCATCAATTGCTCATATGCAAGTTCAAGATGAAGCTGAAGACAATTAAAACAAATCCACAAAAGCCAAAGTAAAACCATAAGTATTTCCCACCTGAATTTAGAGACCATCTGAAGAATAGATTTGATGCACTGAACACCAGAGGAATTGGGGGAGGACATCAGGAACATCATCCATGAAGAAAACAAAAAGACATTAAAAAGACAGGAAAGGAAGAAAAGACCAAAGTGGATGTCAAAAGAGACTCTGAAACTTGTTCTTGAATGGAGAGTAGTTAAAGCAAATGGAAGAAATGATAATATAAAAAAGCTGAACAGAAGATTTCGAAGAGCAGCTTGAGATGTCATAGTAAAGTATTATAATGAAATGCGCAAAGACCTGGAATAAAAAAACCAAAATGGAAGAACACAGCATTTCTCAAGCTGAAAGAACTGATGAAAAAATTCAACGCTTCAGTTGCAATATTGACGGATTCTGTGGGCAAAATATTGAATTATGGAGGAAGCATCAAAAGAAGATGGAAGGAATACAGAGTCACTGTACCAAAAAGCGTTCGTTGAAGTTCATCCATTTCCAGAGGTGGCATATGATCAAGAACCAGTGGTATAGAAGGAAGAGAAGGAAGAAATCCAAGCTGCAGTGAAGGAACTGGCGAAAAGCAAGAGTCCAGGAATTGATAGGGAATAGCCATTGAGATGTTTCAACAAATAGATGCAACGCTAAAGGAGCTTACTCCTTTATACCAAGAAATTTGGAAGACAGCTACCTGGCCGACTGACTGGAAGAGATCCATACTTGTGCCCATTCCACAGAAAGGTGATCCCACAGAATGCAGAAATTATCAAATAATATCATTAGTGTCACACACAAGTAAAAATGTGCTGAATCTAATTCAAAAACGGTTGCAGCAGTATATTGAAAGGGAACTGCCAAAAATTGAAGCTAGGTTCAGAAGAGGACATGGAATGAGGGATATCATTGCTGATGTCAGATGGGCACTGGCTGAAAGCAAAGAGTACCTGTGTTTTATTGACTGTGCAAAGGCATTCGGCTGTGTGGCTCATTGCAAATTATGGATTACATTTCAAAGAATGGAAATTCCAGAACGTTTAATTATGTTCATGAGGAACCTGTGCATAGACCACGAAGCTGTCATTTGAACAGAACAAGGGGATAGTGCATGATTTAAAGTCAGGAAGGGAGTGTGTCAGTGTTGTGTCCTTTCACCATATTTATTCAATCTGTATGCCAAGTGTATAATCTGAGAAGCTGGACTACATGAAGAAGAACACAGCATCAGGATTGGAGGAAGACTCATTGACAACCTGAGATATGCAGGTACCATAACCTTGCCGTCTCTGTGCCAACACCTCTTATCAGTCCAAAGGCATCCTTAATCAATTTATCAGAAACGAAAATGTGATAGTTTGGATCAGAAGCTGGTGGTCTATGGCCTGATGGCCAAATCCATCCAATGTCTATTTTTGTAAATAAAGTTTTATTGTAACAGTGCTGTGCCCATTCATTGACATACTGTCTATGGATGCTTTAGCTGTACATGGCAGGGCTGAGTAGTTGTGACAAAGTCCAAATGACCCACAAAATCTAAAATATTCGCTTCTGGCCCTGTAGTTTACCCAACATGCCTTTCTCTAGAATTACCTCATGTTTCAGCTTTATATGTGGTGTTATGGGCACAAGTGGGAGGCATGTGGCGTAGAGTTGGCACTAATCTCTGACAAGGTTCGCCCTAATACTTTTGTGTGCGTGGGAGACAGGGCTGCATGTGGGGGAAGGCAGCACCCCCATTTCACCCAGCTAAGGCTACATGCAGGTATGTCTTGGCCATGCTATGTGGGAGTCCAGGCACCTTGGTGATGCCCTCACCAGGGTCTTCATGCCACTCCCTGTAGCATTTCTCATTCTTGGACAGTTCTCTACACATGTCTCCAGTGGACTACAGCATTTCTTCCTCCTTAGATGGCCCTATCCACCATCTGTGTGGGCCAGCACCTGGGTGACGGGGCTGCTCAAGTAGAGTTTCCTGAGTGACTTAGTGAACACTATGCAGCTCATGTGGGCAGTGTGGGGTGTGTTATTGGGGGGGGGCGGTCTAGCACCAATATTGGGTTTTGGTTTCTTCATTTTGTCTCTTTGGGTTTTCTGAATTCTCTTTGGAGACCATGTTGTACTTTGAGGTTCATTTCTTAGATATTGCTTTAATCATAACATACAAATTTGGTGTCAGATATATAATCAAGCCAAACTTAGATAAATTGGAATCAGAATTTCAGTTTGGCTAGGTTGAGAAACTAACTAGAAAGCAGAGATTTTGTTATTTTGACATACTCTTGGTAACTTGATAGTATTTTGAAGGAAGACCAAAGAAGAATTGATGCCTGGGAGTTACGCTGTGTATACCCCAGACTCCTTAGGGTGAACACATCTGTCCTGGCAGACGTGCAGCCAGAAAGCTCCTTGGACATGAGGATGGCCACATTCCATCTCATCTGCTTTGATTGTGTTCTCAGGAGGGAACAGTCCCTGCAGAAGGACATCAGGCTTGGAAATGTAGAGGGTCAACGATAAAGAGGAAAACCCTCAATGAGATGGATTGACACAGTAACTGCAACAGCGGGCTCAACTGTAGCAGCTGTTAACAAGGATGCATAGGACTGGGCAATCTTCTGCTCCATTATACACAGAGTTGCTATGAGTTGGAACCTACTTAATGGCCCCTGACAACAACAGCTTAAAGAACCTTTCCTGGCACTTTTTGTCTTAATTTCCTCCTTCTCCCTGTCTCCTCCTGGACTGGCCCCCTCCCCCACAGTCTCCCCCTCCCAAGACTTGGGAGCCTCACACAACTCTGATTTCTGTCCATCTGAGATCAGTTGTCCTACCCATTTGCCCTCCCCCCACACGCTCACCCTTGTGCTGCTCTTCTCATCTGTGATTAATTGGCTTGGCCTTCGAGATCATCCAACAAACAGTCCACAGCAAACTCTAGGCTCCAGTACCCTCTCAGGGTTTGTGATATGTCTGTCATGGCATCTGTGGGGTTTTCGACAACATTTAATACTGAGATTTCATGTAGCGCTCAGTGTCGGAGTGCACGGACACTAAGCACATGTTGTTCCTCGTGTGCATGCCACACTACACCATTGCGTCTGTGTACATGTGCTGCACTGGCTGCCATTTTGCACATGCATCCTCACACTTGCCACCCCATGTGCTGTTCCTTGTGCACCCCACATACATGTTACGCTGCATTGCATTTTGTGTATGTGCCATGCTCCCTTTGTCCTGTCCCCAACGCAACCCTCAGCACTTCTCTTCACCAGTGTTTATGAAGAGCCCGCCCTATCCCTGCCTTGTGCTTGGTGTTTGAGGGGAAGAAGAAAGAACAACAAACATTCCCCATCAAG